TATTATATAAAGCAATAGAATACAATTCATGTTTTATTATATTAATGTTAATATTCAAATTTAAATAATAATAATTTAATATATAAATATAATTAAACAACATTCTAAATATTATACACGCCGAGCCGCTGCCATAAGAAAAATCGGCGGCTAGCCGGCTCACGCCGCTGATCTCAATCGGCGGCTGTTCCGGCGTGAATAAAATTGCCGGTGGCGCCGGAGCCACATATTGGTAAATATAGCTGATTTAGGGTTATCAATGATTTTCATGTCAGCTTTCTGCGCTGATAATGCCTCTGTAAATTTTGGCAAAAACCAGAGTTACCGAATTGAGGCAGCACAATAATGAATTAATACCAATTGGCTTTATATGCCATATACTACATAATTCTTGCAAGAAGGCAATGAATATACTATCTGTGGATGTCGTAATAATTGTGATGAAATGTTTTAACAAATTTAGTTCATCAAATAAAAGAGTTAATAAATTAAAAGAGTTGGTGAAGTGGTCTGACTTGGAATGGTGTGAGTTGTTGCGATGTATACCTATCAGGTGGTTGTCATTAATACCTGCCATCGATAGAATTTTAAAATTTTACAAACCCTTAAAAAAATACTTCTTAAATAAAGATTTTAAAAGCTATCCTAAAATTTTGAAAAATTTTTTCGAGTATGAAATGGCAGAAGCATATTTAGGATTCGTTTCACATGTAGGAAATCTACTTCATGCAGTTAATATTCAGTTGCAATCAGAATATTCTTTATTAAAAATTATTTATAAAATCATGCTACAGCTCTGTTCATCTCTACAGTTAAAAATTCATAATAAATTTTATGGCGCTATTGCTAAAAATATTAAATGTTGCAGATATTTTTATTAAGACAATTTTAGAATATTTACAATCAAAATTTGATTTTAATAACTCTATTTACAATGTATAAATATTATGACCTTGGAATAGAAACCATCAATAGATGGTTTTTATAATTAATAAATATATTAAAAATACCGAAAGACATTGATTTCCTGTTTGAGGAGATTGTAATTCTTTCTATTTTTTATGATTCGCCAAAATACTTAAAGTTAGATGGTCTAAAGGAGAAATGGGTAGAATTTTTTCGTAATAATGATAAATCTCCATGCTTGGAAAAAATATGCGAGTATGTTTTTTCCTTACCTCATTCTAATGCCTCATCGGAGAGCATTTTTAGCCTGATGAGGACTGCCTGGATAAAGGAGAGAAATCGGATTGCTTTAACAACCTTAGAGGCCGAGCTAATGGTTAAACAAATATATAATATGTCATGCCAGTAATTTTATAAATATCTCAATAACGACGGTAAACATTTAGTTCTATTATTTAAATCTCAAATAAAATATAATTAAGTTTTAGCAATGGCGCCATAAAATTTATTGTCAATTTTTCTCCGAGATGAACACATCTGCAGAATAATTTTGTGAATCTTTGTTAAGATTCTTCTGATTGCAACTACACATTAACAGCATGTAGTAGATTTCCTTCATGTGAAATCATTCCTAAATATACCTCTGCCATTCATTATTGTAAAAAAAATTTCAAAATATTAGGACAGCTTTTATAATCTTTATTTAAGAAATATTTTTTTAAAGGTTTATAAAATTTTTAAATTCCGATGGCGGGTATTAGGAACATATCGCAACCAACATTGTGCTGACTGAATTCTGTAAATACACTCTGTTTTTACCAAATTCACTGAGACATTATCAGATCAGAAAGCTGACATGCAATTTATGATAATCTCGAATCTGCTATATTTACCATTATATGGTTAGCTATGTCTTTGGATTACTATTTGAGGGGAAAAAATTTAATAGTTTTGAAACTACCTTAATTTTGATGAAATAGCGGAGGATCTAGGGAAATATTTTAATATTTCCCTTATTAGATGCATCTGTTAGAATTGCATATGTATGCCCATTTTTCAAATCGTCAAGAATTGACCTCCTGGATTTAAATTCTAAAACATTGATGATAGCCTTGCTCATTTTTGTTCTACAAATATAGTTTTCACTTATATTAGAGTCGTTAAATATTATGGGAAAAAGATTCTACCAACATTGTGCTGATAAGTATCTCTGTGAATGTTGTACTACAAGATTAGTGATTACAATTACGGCAACTGTAGTTTCATCTGTATTATTTCTTATTGGAGTATATTATTATGTATTTAAACGTGTTAATTAAGCGCCTATCCTCATAATGTTATACACACACGGTAGATTTCCAATTGCGGTGGTTTTGCGGGACATTCGCATAAAATATATTTTTAATTGTAAAATTAAAATCGTTTTTATAAAATTTTATCTTGTTTACATTCTTTTATATTTAAAAAAGATCGTTGGTTTTTTTTTATAAATTAATATATTTTAATAAATCAAGATGTTATTTTATTTTGAAAAATAGGTAGCGACTTTGTATTTATATAAACTAAAAAATAATAGGGGCCCGCAAAAATTTTTTTTTAGCAATTTTTATATTTCTATCGCAATTTTTATATTTTTCCCGCATAATACCAAATTTCTCCCGCAATTTAAAAATTTTGACCTGGCAACCCTGATCACATCCCTAAAAAATAGAATGTTCCTCAAGAAACATGTTAAATAATTTGAAATATTTACGAATAATATGAGAATTTTAGATAAAATAATTATTTGACAGATAATATGATTTAACATTTAAATAACCATCATGGTATAATTTAGTATAGGCTAGAGGTCTACAGTGGGCGGGATTTTCATTTTACCCCTTCCAGACTAATGGTCGACTGATTTAGAACTTTGATTGGACAGGTGAATAAAAATATTTTAAAAACTATAGGTGGGCGGAGAAATTTGAGATGTGAAAAAATTTTTATTAGAAATTATTTTTTATATCATATTATTGCATATTTTATAAAAAGTTTAATAAAATAACTTTCTTTTCTAGCACGTTGGTTTAGGACCTGCCCAAATTGGGGCATGTGAATTATACAAAGACCCGCTTCATAATTATGCCTGTTTGATAAATTATTTTTAAACATGGCAGGCAGGTTAAACAAAATTTTACATATTGTAAATATTTCTTAAAAAACTATAAGCCGGCGGTTTAAACATGTGTGGGGGGGGGGGGATCACTTTAGTACATTTTGAAGTTATTGTTAGTTAATACAAGGCAGTTTTGAACAAATTTGTATATATATTAATGTTGGATTAACACTGAAGCACATAGTTAAATAATTTAAAAAACTATAAGTGGGCGGTTTAAAACATTAGGGGGAGGGGGAGGGAGTTGTCATTTTAGTACATTTTGATGTTATTTTTAGTTAATACTAAAGGCAGTTAAACTAATTGGTAGTTTACATATTAATGTTGGATTAACACTGAAGCAACATAGTTATAATAAATCGACTTTCTTTTCGATTAAAGATGTAATAGAAATTTATGGTTGCTCCTTTTTGTCTGATAATTATTTATCTAAAAATAAATTTTTTCAAGTTATCAACGGTGTTATCATTAATATCAATAACCAGTAGATGTGATAATAGCTTCCAATATATGTAAATAATATAGCGTTGCTTATGCCATAATTCTTTAAGATGCTTTAGCCATCTGTTTTTGCTCAAACAGGGGGAGAACAATATATTACACTGTTTTGTAAATAGTTTTGTTCTCGAATTTTAATGTTTTCTAATATACATGAAAAATAACAAGTTGTTTTTTTATAAAAATCTGGCAAACACAATTATTCTTATTGCAATCTTAGTGTTGTTATTTTTTAGTGGTTTCAATAAACTAGTAACTTCCTTTATTTGGTCCCAACTGAGTATTAGTGAACTTTTATTATATCTTTGTAAATTTATATATATTTTTCAAATTAATTTAAATACATCAATTAATTATCGTACACAATTAACAATATAATTGAATACAATTAATCATATTATCAATTACTTAAAGGTTAATTGATTCTATTACACCAACCATATTCAATACAACATCACAGGTGCCTATACAATGTATACAGAAATCTTTCAAACTCAATAATCGTTCTATCTAACATCTTCAAACTAATGAAAATCACGAACAATATTTTTTATTTTCACTTATCCGATTAAATTAACGTTGTCATATAAATAAGACCTGAAAAAATTCGCAATTATAAATGTAATTTAACATTATTCCATAGTAATTTTTATTAAAATCGTGGGTTTTTTTGCATTTAAAAGTTTTTGCACTTATGCGATATGCAATTAAACGGTTTTAACTGTATACGCATTCTTTGTAGACAAAAAAACTCATATTTATAAGATAATAATTTGAAAACAGGTTTATACTAATATTTCGATATTAATTTTAAAAAATTAATTATTACATGTTTTAAATATATTTCGATATAATAAAAATATGAAATATAAGGAAATTTTGCTTCCTTTTCGCCTATAAAAATACTAATAAATTATATCCACCTAACCACTCGAGTTATTTTTCCACCTTATCTCTCAAGGGTTAAAGTGACAAACAGAAGTCTTTTTTTGCATTTTGAATATTGATTTTCGATATCATTTCTGTTTTATTTTGGAAATAAACTGATGTACAATATTTATTTTATTTTTTATCCCGAAATAAACATAATGTAGGTTTTGCGATCAAATTTTTAACTTTAACTTAGAGGTAAAATTTAGTTGGAGGAAAAAATGGAACAAAAAAGAAAACCATCATAAAATCATGATACACTTTACTCTGACCAATCAAAAACACCTTTTTTTAATATCCTAAAATCACATATTTTTTTATGACATTTCTGTATATATAATTTTTTTAAAATACTTAAATTAATGTAAAGAAATCAATTTAAATTAGTTGATAAAAATTAATCTTACTCAGTAATATCTTTTAAAATTAAAAAAATTACTTTTATTTCCTTAGGAAAATACGATCACTAGGCTAATACTTTTTAATAATCATTTAAATTGTAGTTCGTATTAATGCATTTTTATTATCTTCGAGTTGCCATAAGAATTTATTATATATAAATATACCATTGAATATTATTAATGTTTAATATTACAAATAAAATATATATAAATATTTAAAATCCATATCTGGATCTTGATTCTTTCCTGGCAATTCTACCTGCAGCCCATTGATTTTGTAATTCAAATTCCTTTTCTTTGGCCTTAGTAAAATAAATAATTGGTAAATGAATATCATTTGGCAATCAATTGATTAATTAAATTTATTGTTAAAAAATAAGCATGGCCTGAGTTGTCTTTAATTTGTAAACCTGACACGGTGTCGTTTTTAATATCATACCCTTTTAAAACCAACTTATGCCGAATTTTTTTATTCCAATTTATATTATACTATTCGTCAATTAATCCTTTGAAGAAAAAAACATAACTGCACAGCAGTTAATTCAACATTTCATAAATGAAGTAATAAATTGGCTTATACGGGGACTCACAGGCACAAACATTCTTTAAGAAATACTGTAGAACGAAAGTAATATTCATATTTTTACTAACTACATTTATATCACATGGAATATTAATATTGTTAGCTGTGAGTTGAAATGCCTTTTAGGTTTTAAAACTTGAATGATAAATCACCTATGCAATGAGTGGCTAATAATAAGATAATATTTTAAAAAATAAAAAAATAATTCACAATGGATTGTTAGGATAAATTGAACATAAATGAACATTCAGGGTTCATATTCTATTTTTCCTTATTACCATAAGTTTGTGTAGAAAGGGTTCTCATTTGCACTTATACTTCAACTAGTCAAATGAAAATATTGCTTCGATGTAATAATGCCAGTATAACAAAGATATGAGATTTTATAAATCATAAGGTCGTGTCCTAGTTTGTCTTATTTCTAAATAGTAGTATGTTTAGACGTCTATATAGCCCTCTCTAAACTACCTAAAAAGAGTATTTAGATTTTTGTAAAGGTGACTCTTTCCAAAATAGTGCATCTAAATGAACATATAATATTCATTTGTATCGAAAAAAAATATAAATAACAAATAATATTAATTTAATGTATACACTTAAAACAACCCAAAATAGGTTGTCCTAGTTCATAATCTGTTTAGCCAGGTCTAAAAAGAAATACACAAATAAGAAGAACGAGGACAAATAAAATAAGATAAAGAGAGAGAGAAAATCATTTCTGTATAGGTCCCTGGTTTAAAAACAAATATAACCTTGGTTAAATGTTTGACATAGAAATCAAATTTAAATATAACAAATTTCATTTAAACAAAATCAAACCTGAAGAGCCAGATAGGTTATTTGATGTTTTTTCCTTTGCAGTGAATCGATTTCAGATTTAGCCTTTTTACTATCCCACTTCTGGTCATCAATTGTTATGTTTTTATTTAAGTTTATTTCGACTCTGTCATAGCCTAAAATTTGATCTGCGTTTGCTTCAATCAAATTTAAGTTAGTTTCCATATTGGAATGGGATAAGCTTTTATTCGGTCCACACTTATGAATTACATTCACCATTTTGTTTCTTTCATTTTTGGGGATAAACTTGCTCATCTAAAATATAGGTAATAAAAAATTTTAAGATATAGTTTCGGATTTTTTATACTTAAAACTAGCGATGTAAAAATACCCAGGAAAATGATCCGCACCCTGGGAATCCCCATTTAGTTTTTATAAATATATGGCAATTTATTTTAACTCTTCTTGCCGTTTTTTTATCTTCAGCCAAATTTTAAACAACTTTTTATTTCTATCATTTTTTGCCATTTTCTTCCATATTGGTTGACCATAATAAAAATAATATGAAATGAGATTTATGTGAATACACCTTAATTCTGTGATTGAGCCATATGACAAGTGCATTAAAAAAATCATATTTATCTGATATACCAGTATTTACAGAAATATAACATAATTAATAACTTTACCCAAACACAATATCGCAAAAGGACTTTGACATTAAGTTTATATTAACCAAAAGGAAAAAACTTTTCTATATTTTCATTTTGCAAAAAATCTTTTGAATCAACGTTATATAGGCCAAACCATGTCTACACATGAATATTGCCTTTACCACAAATAGGTTAAGCAATCGTTTAAATCCAAATTTAAACACAGTAATGGCAAATTTAGTTAAATATCAATTTAAATGAGGTTTTAGGAAACGTCGTGGTGTTTGGAAAGGTATTGCCTAATATTTCGGTATTATTCTGATAGAAAGGGATTTGTACAAATCAAATGTTTAGCTGCAAAATTATTCTCCCATCCAGTGTAGCCATAGAAAGACTATGGTCTGCTTTTTAAAAAACACATAAAGATAAGAAATCGACTACACCATGAAAGCGTGAGAAAATTATTTTCCATTCGTTACAAAATCTGATGAAATTCTTGCAGAATCCAATATGGGAACAATAAAATCCTACATGAGTGACCGACAGATGCGTAAAAATAGAGCTATCATCTAATATGAATCACTATAAAATAAATGTAAGTTGAAAAAAAAGCATAATATGAATTTTTGAGCATTATACCAATTTCTACCATAAATTATATACAATATTGAATTTATGTATAAACTCGCTGGTTACTTATTTACGAAAAAAAATATACTCCTTTGTAATTTAGCTAATTTTTCAACGACTCCATCAGTATTTTATATCCTTATGTATACATATGTAGAAGGGATAACAATTTATATATTCTAAAATATCACTAATATGTTTATATTTTTAAAGAAGAAAAATTCTTTTATCTTTGCAAGATGCGTATATATGCCGCATAACCCTTCATTTACAGTTAGCGCAAATTCGAGGCGAATTTACAAAATATGGCATAAATATAATAATCTAACATTAATTTTTGTATAAATTCGGTGTAAGGGATATATTGAATCCGCGAAGATTCGGAATTCCTCAATCCTAAATCATTTAGCGGAGGCGATTTTTAAAAATCCGATTTTACAGGAAATGCATTCCAGCATGAGTAGAGTAGTATCAACCCTATTAATTTCAGACAATTTTCGCCATTTGTGTATTTATTAATTTATATGAAAAATCCATATAAATCAATATTAATTATGACTAGATCAAATCTTCATGATAAAATTATCTAAAATTCACGATGTGGGTACCATATATATGAAATACTTTTCCGGTCTAATATAATATTTAAAATTTAAAATATACCTCGGTAAATGATTTAAAATTGAAAGATTCTCAAGTTCTATGGATTCCCTATCATCCCACAGTATAATAATTTTAAGCTCTCCGATTTATAAGGATTGCTTAATGAATCAAGTACCACTAATTTATTCTGAATTATACAATTAACCAGATAGATAGTGATGTTGTTAATTGATTTATTTAATTTTTTTAAAAACCTATAAATTAATATCTTCTAAGGGGAGTATTTACAACTTTTTTAATCCTTTTTTTTAAGGTTCAAGGTAATTTTTGAAATTTATTTTATTCCATATTCCCTGTGCAAGAGAACGCGGAGGAGAGGAGAAATTGTTCACAAAGTAATATGTGCCTAAATAGATTTCCAATACATCTATCTAATAAATTTTTACGGACCTCTAAATAGTCTCACCACAAAATAAATAATTTTTTTTGCTTAAAATTTTATTCTATGACATTCAATGTCAATTTTGTAGTGCTGTAAAGTAACGCGTTACCATTTTTAGGAAAAGAAAAGTAATTCGTTACTTCAAATTTTTCCCTATAAAAAATAAGGAAAAAAAAATTTTATATTTATTTTTTTTAAATTTTATAAATCGAGATTTTAATTCAGATCATTAAGAAAAATTCTTTAATTTTACTTTATTACATTTTTGATGTTAATTTTTTTCTCTTATACTATTATAAAATCAATATTTATATAAAATGATTGAACATTCCTGTGCGTGGTGATTTATGGGAAAGAAGTGCTAGAGGGGTATGTTTGCTTCCTATATATTTGTGCATCACCAATAAATAGTTGGTAGGGGATATGAAGCCGGAGATCCTAGTTATTTATTATTCTGGATGATATGAAAGATAATAAAGCTAGAAATTTAAGTGGAATGAAACAACCGAATTTAGTGAATACTTGGAAACTCAAATTCAAAAAAACATGTGAATATTTTTGGGGAGATGATTTATTAGGTTTTTGAAAATTCATTTTTTAAATATTTTTTACAAATTCCTCTAATTGAAAATTTTATTTATTATATAAAACATAACTCTACCATCCTTTGCACCAGTTGAACTTATGTTTAGCATAGTGAAAGATGTGTCAAAGTGTATTATTTCCAAAAATAAATTAAAAAAATTGTGATCAATAATAGGTTTTACAAGATCACGGTTTTTGATATGAAACAGAACAAACCCAACCAAATGAGTTGATGTAATCGACCAAATCCATGGACTTGAGCACCAACCCCAAACCAACTAATTAATATTATATTTATAATATTGTGTTTTCTCAATCATATTTTTATGTATAGAGGACGAGTATTTCAATATTAGCATAGAGGTAATTATCTTTAAGATTACTTTTTTAAAAAATTCTCTTCTTAATCCGAAAATATTTGATAATTTTTACTTTACACAAGAACCCTGAGTCGTAAACTCAAGTTATGATTGATAAACCAATTTAAGAAGAGGACGGAAGTGAGATATTAAATTCAATTTTTTATTGATAAATATTAACTAATTTTAAAAATAATTATATTAACAAATTGAATCTCACTCTATAGATGAACCATTTTCTCATTTTTCATACTACCATTTAATGTTGTTAATCGGCTAAATATAGAATCCAAGTTTTATGTTAAAAAATCCAATTTTTCTAATTATTGGATTGGGAATTTTTTTTTGATATAAAATATGGGCATATTTTTCGGGCTAAAATATTGAGTTAGTCATTTTTAAAAATCGGTTCAAATCGAACCATTTAACAACATTAGTATTTTGTAATTTTTACATATAATCTTTTCAAATATATTAATTTTTTGGCCAACATCGTTTCTAATTGAAAATTGAGTCCTAGTTGAATGTTTGGTAGATTACAAAATTTTGGGTTGTAAAAATAAAAATCTATATTATTTTTCTTACTGCCGTCTAGCTGGCACCCAGATTATATTATAAAAAGTAAAATAATAATATAATTTCAAACCTCACAAGTTTTGTTTTCCGGGAATTTTTTTTATGTTAAATTATGATACCTAAATAATAATGATCAACAAAAATATCAGCTATATAAATGTAGCGTATTAAATTGATATCCCGTTTTCCCATCAAAGATAAAAAATCAATTGATAATCACTGGTTGAGAACCGTGTTAAAATCTGGTAGTTCTCTAAATTATTGTTTTAAGCAAAAATATAATTATTGCCGAAATCCAAGTTTTTTTTTTAAATCAAGGAGTTCGAATAATATATGTCGACCACCTTTTTTGATAATGTCATTTCAAAATTAGCATCCATTAATTTTGTAACAATTTCATTAAAATTATTTTCTTTATTCTAAAACAATATAATTCATAAATATTAAGAATTCAGGTCTAAATTGCATTAATTAAAATAGCATAAACATACTCACTTTATGTTACCACTAATATATAATGTGTAATTAATATTAAATATATATTTAGAAGGATAAAAATATATCTATAATTAAATATATATATGTCTAATAAATATTACATATTAAATAAATAATACATATTAAATATATATTTAGAAGGATTAATAGATAAAAAATATATATAAATTAATTAAATTATGGGTAATAAATACTTCATATTCATACATATATATTTCATATTCATACATATAAATTTCTATTTATTACAAGTATAATAAATTATATTAATTTACCTACATATACGTATCCAAATGTTCCATAAGGGTTATTGCCAGAGTTTGGCAGTACCGCCAATACTTGTATCTAAGATACAAGATACTTTTGTATCTTGTACTCAGTATCTTTTTTACATTTTTAATTAGATACTAGTATCTTTATCTAAGATCCTTTATTCTGAAAATTATCTTGTATCTTTTTAATAAGATGGTTTACGCAAAATATTTTGAGAAAATATTTTCCCATGATAAAGAACTTATGGATTGAATCAAATGATAAAAAAAATACTTTGAAAAAATATTAGGAGCCTTAAATGTACCAGAGTTAAACAAGCCACCAATATATTTAACATTAGAAAATGATGATTATTTCTGTGTAATAAATGTTGCTGAACGTTTTAAATTAAAATAAAGAAAGTAGAAATACGTTATGCAGTTCGCAATGTAATTACTACTTTATTATCAATGCGGCAGAATGATCACTTTTTCAGGTGTGGTATATTCTTCTTTAAATCAAAAGGACTGAGAGAAAGCCAGGCAAATTATTCCAAATTTGGGAGTTAATTTATAAAGGTAAAATAAAAGATGAATATTCCAAAATTGTATATTAATATATTATAAAGGTAAAATAAAAAAAGATAAATATTCCAAAATTGGGATTTGACATATTATAAAGGTATAATAAAGAAAGTTAAATATTCCAAAATTGGAAATTAATATATTATAAAGGTAGCATTAAAAAAAATACTCCAAAATTGGGAATTAAGATTATTAAAGTAAAATAAAATAAAATAATAAATATTAAAAAAAGGAATTTCATAAAAGATCTAATTCGATATTTGTTTTGTTGAGAGGAGGCTTTGAAGTCAATATTAAAGTAATAGCGGAAAAAAAGTATGCATCAAATTATTCGAAATGATTTTCCTAATCTATTATATTATCCATGATATTCTTCATTGACTATGTAAGAAATTAAATGTCAATTTAGCTAAAAATATTTTAAAAAGAAAATTAAATTTCTATAAAAATCATTCTTAGTAACTAAGAAACTGTATGTTATATTTACTAGTATTCGCTAAAAAGAAGTAAAATCCTTATATAAAATTATTCGAGAATATATTAGGAATTATTCCAGGATATCTAAATAATTTTTAGAAAATCATATTCGAAATTATGGAAATATAGTAAATGATTGACCGATAATAATAGAGATGTGGATAAAAATTTTGGGTATAAATTTTTTATATTATATTCTGTATTCGAATTGGAGAACATTATGTTAAATATTAAAAAATATATTTTATTCTTTATTCTAATTGGGGAAATAATTATAGCCGGAAAAATATATATTTTTATTCCTATTCGTGAGACGACTAAAACGGCGTCCTCCTATGGATAAAAAAGTCGCATTTCTTAATTTTTTTTCTAAAGTCGTTCTTAAATGTATTTTCGGCAATTTATATACAATCAAATAAGCGGAATGTTTAAATATAAAGTTTGGAGTAAATTAAAAACGTTCAATGTTATTAAAAGATTGTCCAGTGATTCGTTTATAAATTTATCATTGTTATCTTCGTAACTTTTTGTCTTTAACCTATAAAAGTGATTTTTAAAAAAATTCACTAATAAATCAGATATTTTTTGATAATATATTTTATTTGTGTATAAAAAAAACACTTATAAATTTATTATTGTAAAATAAAACGAAAATATAATTTTAATATTTAAAATTTACTAAAAAAGATATTTTATCTAAAAATTCAAAAATTTGTGACGTTCTTTCATATATGGCTGTTAAATTTGTAATATGCTCATCGATTCTTTCATATTTTTTATTTCTTCACCGCACTCTAGATCCATTATTGATCTGGATAATTTTGAGGGCGTTAGAATGTTGATGACCTATTAGAGTTTTTATAAGAATATAAACATTTGGGTGAGCGTGTGCCGTTTTTCTCTTTAAGGCATGATGAAACCCCTCTAAATGATTATTGGTGCGGGGACCATCGACTTTATATCTAAATTATATGAAAATTTTTAAAATTAATTAATTATATTTTAAATACCTTGTCCATAATATGCCATGAGGAAATATGGCATTAAGGCCTAGCCATGTCGTATCCCTATACTCCATAAAATCCATGAGCATGGGATTTTCAGACTCCATAATATAACAATTTTGCCTTACCCTAGATATATCTTCCTCCTTACAAAAAGGCAAAGTTGTCATGCGCCTAACAACTTTGTGAACATTGGAGTGGTTCAGGTACAAGCTTACCAACCCTAAAGACTGACATCTTCGCCATAACGCTTGAGAATAATGAAAAAAACATCCTAAACAAAATTATATTAGAATACAAATCATAAATTTAACCCTTTATAACCATGCTAGGAAATACAAACTTGAGAGCTGATATAGCAGCTGCCTCAAAGTTGCTTGGCCAAATCGAGGAATAAAGGTTATCTGGCGTTCGGCGCAAAAATTAGTAATAATTTGAAAAAGCCGGATATATGTTTCTTTTGTCTTATCCGGAAGGAGAGCGTAAATGATAGGCATCACAACACCTTCATACATAACATGCAAGGTATAAAGTTGATAAAATAAGGTAGGAGCTACATGAAAAGTTCCATCCATGTAGATCATGTCAGAACCCTCGGTCAAACGCAACATGGAATCAGTACCAAAAACATATAAGTTACCTGTTCCATGGATTAGAAAACGTTCATTGCGAATTGTCATAGCATATTCTGCTGATAACTCAATATCCAATCGATTGAGGCATGGGGGGCCGATATTTCATAAGGAGTCTGTCTATGTGACTCCTCAAAGATATAAATGATGGTATCGCCTCAGAATAGTATTATATTTCTGGATCCTCCAAACATTTCTTATCCATAGTTTGTTGATAAATGTTTAAGCGTGTCTAAAGGGGATTCTGAGCTATGAAGTTTTCAAGTGCTTCTTTAGTTTTAAGCATCTCGAATGTCCCTATTTCAAAAGGATGATCATGTATACCCGAGGCAATATAAGCATCATCAAATAAACATTTAGCCAGCTGCTCTACAACGATATTTTATAATATCCCTATTTTGACAGTGAAATCTATATAGATAGTTCTGAAAGAAGAGTAACATTTTCCCCTTTTGGCTCTTGACAAAACGAGCCTCTAGTTAATTAAAAATAATATTAATGCAATTTATTATAATTATTTTTACCATAAATATTAGAATTTATCTCTAATAAGGCTTGTGCTATGTCAAGAGGGGAATCTAGATTTGTGTAGTTTGAAATATAACAATTTAAGAATTAATAATATATTTTATTTACTTGAGGTATTAAGCAGTAGTATGAGAGAAACTGGTTCATAATTTGGAGGATTATTACATGGACCTAAATTAAAAATATAACAATTTATAATATATTTTATTTACTTGAGGTATTAAGCAGTATGACAGAAATTGGTTCATAATTTGGAGGATTATTACATGGACCTAAAATTAAAAATAAAACAATTTAAGATTTATTTTAGTTTAAAGAAAACTAAAAAAGGAAACCATCTAATAGTGTATTTAGGGTATGAGTACCTGATAAAAAGTGCTAATAAAAATTTTGTACACCTTAATTGTCGTGATAATTGTTCTGCTGGGGTTAAGCTATCATTAAAGGACATCATAATTACCATAGAACATACATCTAGGTGTAAATGTAATAAAATAAATATTTAAACATCTTAATTTCAAATAAGATAACACCCATCTTACTTTTCCATCTGTACAATCACCAGATTCTGTCATATTGCCTAATACCTCAAGTTAATAAAATATATTATAAATTCTTAAATTGTTATATTTTTAATTTAGGTCCATGTAATAAATCTTTTAGAACCAGTTTCTGTCATACTGCCTAATACCTAAGTAAATAAAATATATTATAAATTCTTAAATTGTTATATTTTTAATTTAGGTCCAAGTAATAATCCTCCAAATTATGATCCAGTTCCTGTCATACTGCCTAATACCTCAAGTAAATAAAATATATTATAAATTCTTAAATTGTTATATTTTTAATTTAGGTCCATGTAATAATCCTCCAAATTATGAAACAGTTTCTGTCATACTGCCTACCTCAAGTAAATAAAATATATTATAAATTCCTAAATTGTTATATTTTTAATTTAGGTCCAAGTAATAATCCTCCAAATTTAGAACAAGTTTCTGTCATACTGCCTAATACCTCAAGTAAATAAAATATATTATAAATTCATAAATTGTTATACTTTTAATTTAGGTCCATGTAATAATCCTCCTAATTATGATCCAGTTCCTGTCATACTGCCTAATACCTCAAGTAAATAAAATATATTATAAATTCTTAAATTGTTATATTTTTAATTTAGGTCCATGTAATAATCCTCCAAATTATGAACAAGTTTTTGTCATACTACTGCCTAATACCTCAAGTAAATAAAATATATTATAATTTCTTAAATTGATATATTTCAAACTACACAAATCTAGATTCCCCTCTTGACATAGCACAAGCCTTATTAGACTTAAATTCAAATATTTATGGTAAAAATAATTATAATAAATTGCATTAATATTATTTTTAATTAACTAAAGGCTCGTTTTGTCAAGAGCCAAAAGGGGGAAATGTTACTCTTTCAGAACTATCTATATAGATTTCACTGTCAAAATAGGGATATTATAAAATATCGTTGTAGAGTAGCTGATTGTCATGCTAAATGTTTATTTGATGGTGCTTATATTGCTTCGGGTATACATGAAACTCTTATTTAAAATAGGGACATCCAAGATGCTTAAAACTAAAGAAGCACTCAAAAACATTGTAGCTCAGAATCCCCTTTAGACACGCTTAAACATTTATCAACAAACTATGGATAAGAAATGTTCGGAGGATCCAGAAATAGAAAACTATTCTGAGGTGATACCATCATTTATATCTTTGAGGAGTCACATAGACAGACTCCTTATGAAATATCGGCCCCCCATGCCTCAATCGATTTTGGATATTAAGTTATCAGCAGAATATGCTATGACAACTCACAATGAACGTTTTCTAATTAATGGAACAGGTAACTTATACGTTTTTGGTACTGATTCCATGTTGCGTTTGACCGAAAGTTCTGAGATCTACATGGATGGAACTTTTCATGTAGCTCCTACCTTATTTTATCAACTTTATACCTTGCATGTTATGTATGAAGGTGTTGTGATGCCTATCATTTACGCTCTCCTTCCGGATAAGACAAAAGAAACATATATCCGGCTTTTTCAAATTATTATTAATTTTTGCGCCGAACGCCAGACAACCTTTATTCCTCGATTTGGCCAAGCAACTTTGAGGCAGCTGCTATATCAGCTCTCAAGTTTGTATTTCCTAGCATGGTTATAAAGGGTTAAATTTATGATTTGTATTCTAATATAATTTTGTTTAGGAAGTTTTTCCCATTATTCCCAAGCGTTATCGTGAAGATGTCAATCTTTAGGGTTGGTAAGCTTGTACCTGAACTACTCCAATGTTCACAAAGTTGTTAGGCGCATGACAACTTTGCCTTTTTGTAAGGAGGAAGATATATCTAGGGTAAGGCAAAATTGTTATATTATGGAGTCTGAAAATCCCATGCTCATGGATTTTATGGAGTATATGGATACGACATGGCTAGGTTTTAATGCCATATTTCCTCATGGAATATGGACAAGGTATTTAAAATACAATTAATTAATTTTAAAAATTTTCATATAATTTAGATATAAAGTCGATGGTCCCCACACCAATAATCAATTAGTGGGGTTTCATCATGCCTTAAAGAGAAAAACGGCACACGCTCACCCAAATGTTTATATTCTTATAAAAACTCTAATAGGTCATCAACATTCTAACGCCCTCAAAATTATCCAGATCAATAATGGATCTAGAGTGCGGTGAAGAAATAAAAAATATGAAAGAATCGATGAGCATATTACAAATTTAACAGCCATATATGAAAGAACGTCACAAATTTTTGAATTTTTAGATAAAATATCTTTTTTAGTAAATTTTAAATATTAAAATTATATTTTCGTTTTATTTTACAATAATAAATTTATAAGTGTTTATTTTTTTATACAAATAAAATATATTATCAAAAAATATCTGATTTATTAGTGAATTTTTTTTAAAATCACTTTTATAGGTGAACAAAAAGTTACGAAGATAACAATGATAAATTTATAAACGACTCACTGTGCAATCTTTTAATAACATTGAACGTTTTTAATTTACTCCAAGCTTTATATTTAAACATTCCGCTTATTTGATTGTATATAAATTTTCGCCGAAAATACATTTAAGAACGACTTTAGAAAATAAATTAAGAAATGCGGCCTTTTTATCCATAGGAGGATGCCGTTTCAGTAGTTTCACAAATAGGAATAAAAATATATATTTTATATTAGGACAAATCCAACTATTGAGCCAACTCAAGCCAAAGCCAACTCATCTAGTCAGCTTGGATCTAAGCCAATTTTTATGACTTTAGGTCAGATCCCTATTATTATTAATTAAATAAACATATATTACTTTTTTGATGATATATTTATAAATATATAAAAATCTATAATAAAGTTAGGCTGGTCCTAGAAGAAAGTTATTTCGAATTAAATGCAAAATAAATAATTAATATTAAATTGAACTGCTCATCCTCTAGATTTTAATTGGTTATCTTTCAAAACTCGAGTGATTCGAGTTTCTAGTTTTAAGTAAAAATTAGGAAATATTTTCAGATTAAGAAGAGAACAATTATTAAAAAAAAGAAAACTTAAAAATAATTATTTATATCCTAATATAGAGATACTTGTCCTTTATGCATAAAAATATGATTGGGCAAAATATTCACAATATATTATTATATTTATAAGTTGGATTTGGGTTCAGGTATATGGATTTGGTCAACATTTTTTAAGTAATTAGTAACATAACTTTTTTGAATAGCCAGTAATGGGTTCCTTACAAGTTAACGAATAACATGTTTCTTTTTCAAACATAAGAAGAAATCATTCTTTTTTGAGGTAACATTTATAGCATTACAATTTGTAAATCTATTTCCTTAATTATCTATAAAAACGATGTTGGTCAAAGTTTTAAACAAAGTCAGGAACCAACCTATATCACTCATTTCCACATAAATATATGCCCTTGTAATATGAATTTCAAGTAAATTTCAGGTTTTTGTTGGTGCTTAAAAATATAAGAAAAAAAATATAAATAGGATTGATAATTATAGCTGGTGAGTCTTAGCTTTATTCAATATGTCATAATGTAAAATGTATTTTTTCTAAATCAATTTGTGTAAAATTGATATAAAAATTGATTTATTATTTTTACTTCAATTTCTGGATCAAATTCAATTGTTTGATTATTTTCAGAAATAGTTGATTGTATAGTATCAATAACAGGTTCCTCGTATTTAAAAATATTAAAAAGGCAACAATCAAAATATTTACTATATGTATAAGATCTTTATCATCATAAATATGTATAATATTATGTGGTTCTGTGTCTTTACTAATATCTTTATTAATATTAATATTATCCTGTTCATCATCAAAGAAAAAGCTTATAGGAGAGCTCTTACCCTCATTAGAAGAAATTTTTTCATTATTATAAAGTATATTTGGTATGAATTTAGTGTTTAAATTATCCTCTTCAAATTTTACATCATCTTTGACTTTGTTTAATTTTTTCTGTAATACATTTGTATCTTTATGAGCATTTTTAGAAAATTGTGGTTTATTGCTTTGGTATAAATTTTTGCTAAATTTATGGGAAGGCTCAGGAAGGATGGAAAGCAATTTGCATATCTTTATAATATCAATAATAAAAATTATATTGATATTAATTGTTAACTGATGTTTCTGATTTGTATTTTAATGTGATGTCTTTGGTGTTGATGGTTTCTATATCATCATCTATCGACTAATACATTATTATTTTAATAAAATTACTTTAATTTACATTATCTAATTTTGGAGCTATTATTTTAATTCTTTTGTTAGATACATTCCGTTCTTTAATTACTATATCTTTTATATTGACGTGGAGTAATTTATCATCTATAAAGATAGAACAACTTTTTTGTAATGGTTATAAATTCGAATATTACCACAGTCGTCTTCTTCATCGCTTTCATTATCATAATCAACTAATCCAAGCATTTAATGCTAATGATGTTGTGGCAATTATTTCTTCCTAAAACATATAATAATTTTTTAAACAATAACCATATTCTGTTAAATTTATATTTGTCATCCCCACGTTTTGAAGACTCTTTTACCATTATACCATAGGCGTAGCCAGGGGGGGGGGCAAGGGGAAATTCCCCCCCTTCAGAAATTTATCACTTTTTGTAAATATCATTTTTAGCTAATAAAAAATATCCCCCTTAGTCCTCCCCCCACTCCCTGACCCTCAAATAGGTATGCATATATCTTAAATAATAATTTATAAGAAAAATGTAAAAGTTGATATTTTTTATGAAACTATTCATCATAATTTATAGATTTTTGGGAAAATAAATTAATATAAAATGAACCAAAAATGTTTTTTAATAAATGGAATATAAGCCAAAGATAAGTCTTAAGATAGAAGTGAATTGTATTATAATTACTAATAATAGATCCATAAAATTAATAAATAATATAATATATCAAATATAATTTTTTATAAAGTGAGTAATTTTAATTTATTAATCTTAATAAAAGTTAAATATAATTTTAAAACTATTGATAAATTAAATCATAAATTAAAAAAATATTAAAGCACAATACAAACAGGGGAATATTATATGTGGTAGATTTACAGTATATCTAATTATCAAATGACAATCAAGTAATTTTTACCTATATAGCGAATAATCTATTTTACAGATAACTATAAAATATTGATAAGGACATCAGAAAATATCTTTTAAAGACATTGTGGGATGAATAATATGAAAATTAAATTTAAATATCATTTTTCTTAAAACAAATAGATGGCGTTAAATAATTGAATGCAAATTGTTGCATATTTAATATCAAGAGCATTGATTAGTAAAATTTGTTAAATTATTAACTGTAATATATTCTCTAACTGTCAAATATGTCTGTAAAAGTGGAATTTTACCTAGTATTTTATAACTAATTCTATATAATAGAGTAAAATAAACTATATGTCTACTTACTTTTTATAAATAAATTACTTATAATTGTTTGGAATAAATTATTACCATGCTTTTATATTAAGGTATATACAATACAAGTTATTTATTATGTTTTTATTTTTATATAAACTAATAAAAATATATTTCATATAAACTAATAAAAATATATTTCATATTTGTTCCAGGCTTATATTAAAATTTGTAAAAATATTTATGACTATATATAGACTAAAAGCGAAAAGGGGGTCTAGGGGCGAAGCCCCCAGTAATTTTTTAATTCCCCCCCCTTATGAAAATCCTGGCTACGCCTATGCATTATACTGACTTAGTAGCCCAATAGGTTGGCATCAGATAAAATTGACCATTTCGAGGATTAGACCATGGATCCTCGTTCAAGGATGTATTTTTCCAAGCAGCTACTCAATTAGACGATATTTTTTTATATGTTCAGTTTTTTTTATAAATTTGCAAAGACAATGCACCCTAATGGCCATTATCAAAGGAGTAAAATTTTATTTTTTATATTACATGATGATTAAACAATCAGTCAAATTTGAAGGTCCATCAGTCATAAAACACATGGTTTATAATTATTTTTGAAATAAAACTAAAGTATTTGAAATAAATATTGATATGGATATAAATTATCTAGATAAAAATATCTTATCTGAAGTTACGCAAAGAGTTAAGCAAAAAATTAAATATTGCAGAAATAAAAATGACATTTGTCGAAGTTTAGAATCCCTAAAGAAAGCGAGTTAAATATATTTACTTTTAATTATATTTATTATTACAACAGAAAAAATGAAAAAAATCATACCTACACACTTTATATCAATTCACATAGATAATTGTGAAGTTTATCATATAAATACATATGGTATATTTAATCATATATATTACAATTAGATAATTGCTAACATAAAACAAGTTCAAAACCTATTTGTATTACATGACAAAAACTTAGAAAATGCTCTTATACAATTAGAAAAAATTCATTTAACTTTGTTATTATTAAACATCAATGCAAATATTGAAAACAGGTTTTATAAAATAAAAAATTTTTTATGAATTTAAATTTAATCTTTATTGTAACCTGTTATTTGAGGTTTTGATTAATTCTTTCCCTGAGCCCTCTTACAAAAAATGTTGTGCCAACTATGGCCTGGGGACTTGCCAAAAATATTTTGGGATCAGGCTAAACAAATTGTGCAAGATAGTTTTACAGGCTGGGTCAAAGTTTTTAAAACCATTTTTTTTTATTTGTCAAACCATTCAAAAACTTAAAACACAATTGATTTTAAATTAATTTTTGTTAAAAAGAAATTTTTTAATTTAAAAAATAAGATAAGCATCTTTTTTTATTTGCTTCCCTTTAAATGTAAAATAACACAATTGTATTATTTCTTTTTATTTATTAAAAAAATACATGATTTTATAAATGTTTTCCAAATGTTTATTTAACAATATTGTACAAGCATTTTTATTTATATTAAAAAATAATCAATTTTAATTTTGCTTCTTACATGTATATTTTTTTAGGGTAGTAAAATATGTAGTAAAATTAGTAATAATTAAATTTAAGAATTTTTTAATAAAAATTACAAGTTATCTCTAATTTCTCATCACTGATTTAATATACATATCATTTAAAAGAACGTTTTGAATCATATAAGGATTGCACCTTTTTCTTGCGACTATTTTATTAAGGAATTCTTGCACTTATTATTTTCCAATCACATTAGAATTCCCAAAAATTTAATGTCTAACAATATTTTATTCTTCCATTTTAAAAGATAGACAATTCTTTCATTAGTTATTAATTAAAATAACTTATAAATTTTTGGGATAGGCCCATCAGTTCCAAATCCCATTTGCCTTTCATAAAAATATACATCAAAATGTATACATACAAAAAATAAAATAAAGACTGACCAAGAATGAACTGATCATCTAGTTCCAATATAGATGATAAACAATATGTTATGCTACCAAATTCCTTATTTATAATTTATTTTTTGATAAATCTGATTATTTATTTTCAACTTCAAAGTCAGTTATTTAATGCAATTAGCTAAAATAATATATCTTTTTTGTTACATTCATATAATGAAATTTTTTTAAAAAATAATATAATTGGAGAAGATTATCTACTCCAATTTTATTTTTAGTTTAAAAATTATATATTCATTTTTATTGTATGATATAATTTCACCTTTCAGTCAAGGTAGTATAGAATGGCATATTAGCCTCTGGTTTATATTTATAAGTGACCTTCAGAATTATGGATTTTATTTTTCATCATTATTACAGTTTGGTCCAGGGTCCTGGAGTGAACCGTAATCAACCATTAAACCATTATAAACCGTTATAAATATCTGATCTGTAACCTAACCGATATAATTATTTTTTGAAGGAGTAAAAAGAACCTTTATAAAAAAAGGCTAAACCAGTTCAGTGTTTATATTTAGACATGGAAGTAATTTGAATATCCAGAATTATATAAACTTGATCTTCCCGCAACACAAGTTTCTGTAGAAAGGGCCTTTTCGGGGCTAAAATTTGTGTTATCTTCATGACGAACAAAAAGGAATCCATTTATATTTCAAATAATATATTTAAAAATGAGTTATTTTAAATCTTATATATTTTTTTTATATATAATCCATAGATGCTTACAATAAAATTAAATTAGAAGATGGTGTTGCTTCAATGAAAAAAAAATTTCTAACCATAATGAACCTTTATAATTAGCTGAACCGAATGGAACCTTTATAAATTTTTTCTTAAGAACCATAACCAAAACGTAATCATTATAATTTTTTACATACTGAACCGTAACCAAACTGAACTGTTATAAATAACTGTTCAGGTCCCTGGTTTGGTCCCAGAATTGATAAAATTTCAATATTTTGCAATCCTTTCAAAGGCAAATTGAAAATTTAAACAGTAAATAAATAACTTAAATGCTACGTTTTGTGGTTTGCTAATATTTTTCAAACTGATTAATTTATATAATTTTGAAAGAAAAAATAATATTTAATTTATTTCAACCATTTTGAAGCACAGAAATAAAAGTCCCGAAAATTTTATTTACATATAAAAATAAGTGACATCATATTGATACCACCTCTCCTAACCATATCAGGAGGCATAGCGATTTTTTTTTAAAATGATTAAATAAAGGAGAAGGTTAAATTGATTGCACCTCCAGCATATTAAATATGTTTTAATCATCAAAATATTTTATAGGTTAAAAATATATAATTTTATCTTTTTTAGAAGCAAGCCTTAGTGGCAGAAAATTTAAAATAATGCTTTCAATTCATTGTTCCCCTTGCTCCTCAAAGGGTTAATCTCGCCCCCCCCCCCCCCTGATTTTTAAAAATATTGCCACATTGTACAGGTTTTTGTATTACTAAACCCGGCTTATTCTTTTGATGGGATTAAATATGACAGGCCAATTTTTATTATTTTGCTGAAATCGTTTTATTTTCTTGGGAATAAACTCGATATATAATTTCAAATTCGTGGCCAAAAAAATGGTTCGGGGGTGATTGAGATTGGAGCGCCTGATCAAATACATTTTTGACATTTATTCAGAAAAATATATTTTTTGATAATTTATTTTATTGTTTTTTCTTATAAAATTTTTGACCAGAAATCCCTTTTAAATTTCAAATATATGGTATATATATTATATTTATTCTAATAATAATTTTTTTTAGAGTGGCTAGAATATTTGATTTTATATCTCAAGAATTCTCACCCGATTTGTCATTGTTTCGTATAAAATTGAAGGGTTTAGGAAATTTTGGAAACAAGGTAATTTTATTACATTGTGACAAAAGTGATAAACAAAACTACGAAATGCTGCTAAGGGTAAAAAGTAATTATAAATGATTTTTTTTTTATTAATAATTCTCATATCAAAATTGTCAATCGGAGCCAAATGTAGTGATTACAGTGCAATTTAAATAGATTCAACGCAGATGTAGACAGCGTCTTCGCGAGATATAAAAATTTGTAGGCAACACTTTTAGATATACACTCAAGCCAGGCTGCTATTTAAGATTTAATTAAAATTTTTGATTTATTTCGAACCAAATAGTAATAAACACGAATAATAAATTATTACATTCGTTGGAATAAATCCGACAGAAATAACTATAAATAAATGCGTATATTATAAAAATAAAAGTTTATATTATTTAATCATTGTTCATGTAGAGAAATCCTTAGGCCTCGCTTATAGAAACCACTTAAATAACGTTACATGGCATCTAACTGCCTAAATTACAAATTCATAATGTTAAATTATAGATCTATGCTATCGTTTAACCATAAAGGTTTAACTATCATAATGATTACTATAAATGAAACTTTACGCAAATTGACGTCTTTTTTTATTTCTTATTTTATTTTAACACACATGTATTCTTATTTTAGCGAAATTTATTTTTAAAATCCCTTTAATTCAATATTTTAAATTAGTGATCTGCATCGGGCCTAATTTCTAAAGCCCGACCCAGCCCAATTTTTATAAAAAAGTTTTGTCGGCCTGCCCGAATCCGAAATATTTTTAAAAAAAATACCTGCTCAGCCACTCAAAATAAAAGATATATGTTATATGGCGTCTAGTTTCTATAAATAAAATCGAATATTTTAAATTAAACATAAAATTTATAAATTTAGATATATTTTAAAAAACTGACCCGACCAAGCCCGAACCCGATTTTATATAAAATTTTAGTTACTCCCCCCCACCCCTTTTATATATTCGCACACATCGATGATATATAAAAAAATTTTTTCAAATTTATTGAGCCACTATTTAACCTCCATTCAACAAAATTATATCAAACATTCATAATTTAGGATTGAAATAAAATATAGCCATTTGATGATAATCAATAGGTTGTCATTACCCCTAATCTCGTTCGCCTAGCGCTTTTGCTTCTTAGTCATTCTCATTCTCATTTTTTTTATTTGATTCAATTAAGCTTGTTGTGTTTTATACTTTTTTTTATCAAAACTAATTTGATTATGCTATTAAGTTTTCTGGGAAAAATTATATAGATGGGGGTAATCTGATAATCGTTCAACTCATGGAATGTTAAACTGAAGGAAATTTTTAATTTTAATGAAATATATTTAAAATTAAAAAAGAAACTGAAGTAAGGAAAAGAATTAAAGACTAGAGTGATATGGATTTAAAAGTTCGAGAGATATGCTTAATAAAATTTGATCCTTTTTATTAATGATCTGATTAATCAGATTACAGAAATTTAAATAAATTAGCTGTTGTAACGACAATTTCCTTGAGTTGGACCATAATTGGGTAATCTATGAACCTAGTGGAGTAGCCTCCATTGGGGTTCCTGCATCATTGGCTCAGTGAGGTTTAGAAAACCTTGGTAAATACTTGACACTGAACTTATTCGTACGAATCGAATTTCTTATTCCTAAAACATTATTATAATCGAAAAATAAAATTGTTAAAATTTTTTTTTAAAATGAAATATTGAAATTTAAAAAAGTAATTTACAGATGTGGAAATAAATTTTAAAAAAAATAAAATAACTTCCGCGAGGAACATTTTAAATACTTACGAATTAAATCGAATTATGGATAAAAAAAAATTATTCGAAGAATAATCTATTTTCTTTATTAATAAAATCTGAATCGAATAAATAATTCGCTTTAGGTATAGATTATATATTACATTTATATTAATAAACTGAATTATATGATATGATTTTTATTAACATTAATATATACAATTATTTAGGTGAAATAACTCTACTATTATTAAGTGTAGGATTCACATTTGTTAATGATATACTAATTGCTCCTGTTGACGAATTATTAGATGACATGTTATCAATAAAATGTCACGTTAGAAGAGATGAAAACGCTTTTGACGTCGACACAATACAAAAAAAGTAAAATAGTGTTTGATAAAAGTCTCGATTTTAAAAAAACAGCTAATTATTTTAGCCAAAAAATAATACGCAAGCCTGGATATTTTGCTCATAGGCAATGAACTATTTACGAAATATCGAGACTTGCTATTTTCTCTAAAATCTTAATTTAAAATAGGCTAAATCGAGCCGTTTAGCAACACTAAAATAGCATCTACACGATTATATTATTATTAGAGATCAACATTTAATGCCCCCACCCCTATATTTAAAATAGATAACAATTTTTTTAAGCCATATTTGGTAAATGATATCTAAGGAGAGTCAAATAGTGCGAATGAATATTTAAATTCCATTATTTAATTAAAATTTAATATAATGTACCTTAGTCGATTGAAATAATCTATTCAACCTTGGTTGTTTTTAAAAAATAATTTTTATAGTTAAATGGGTGTGTAGGTCTTGACAATTTATTATAAAAATTAAATCTTATATTTAAAAATTTTGCTATAAATTAAAAAGCTTTAATAATTTTATAGGTAGTTTAAAATTTTTATATTACTATTATGAATTTTATTTATACGTAAGTTTCACTCCTCATGCCACGATTCTAAAACTCTCAAAATTGAAAGGTATTACTGCAAAATCAATTAAAAAATTGGATCCTAAAATTTACAATGAGATTTTTGACGAAAATTATGAATTTGGTGAGCAAATCGTTGATAAAATATACCTTTCATGTATTTTCAATAAAAAAATTGACAAAAACGCTGATTGTGATAATGAAATGAAATCTTTCAAAATCGGCTATTTCAGAAATTTGGGAGCTATAACCCTTGGTAAAAATTTAATATATATATTTTTTTAAAGTTGAATCCATAAGTTAATTCGAAAGTTTTTAATATAAATAGTTTGAGGCGATAAAAATTTCAGTCTTATCCTGCACGCACAATTAGCGCGAATTGCCTATCCTGCGACGCTAACTCTGAATGCGGGTTAATATCGGTTATAATTTCTTTTCACTAAATGTTTACAGAGAATTATTATAAGATCACTATATAATAGAGTCTTATTAAAAATTACAATGTATATCTTTTAAAATATTGCAAAGCGAGATCTTTATAATATATTAAAATGGTTACATATAATTATAAAAGTGATATCCTCGTAACAATTTGGTATACTATTGTAAAAAATTGATATAGAAGTATCTTAAATAAAAATAAATATTTAAAAAGGAAAAACACGAGTGCATACAGGTTTGGACACATTACTTGGAAAAAAAATACGGCTACCATTTATTCAAAAATAAGAACGAGTAAGTTATCTCAAATAAAAGGTTAACGATTACGTTACGGTTATTTAGGATATGTAACTATTATAGAAGTTCATCTTTACATAATAATGATAAGAATAAATGATAATCAAAAAGAATCTGTAAAGTCTAAATTAAAAAAGCCAATCAAGCTAATTTTTTAAGCATTAGATAAAAGGACTAATTTTTTAAATTAAAGCATCATTTAATCGTCTCCTGTTTGGTCTATTAAATTTGCAAATGCTATAAATATTTGTTATATATCAAAAAAATGTTTCATCGATTATTATATTTATGCAGTATATTGATTAATGATAAATCTTGAAGATATACGACTACCTCAATTTTCGACGTCTTAGACTCAAAAAAATCATATTTTATCGTGGGTATAACTAAACTTAAAAATAGATATGTGAGATATTACCTTTAAAATTACTGCAGTTGTCATTAAAACATATTATAAAATTTTTAGCGAATGATTATAACCCTGAGTAATTTTAAATCGGATAGAAAATAATAGCTAAGAATGTTTCACTAGCTTCTATTTTTTTCAGGCCTTAATTGATATTAAAAATTTTCTATTGAATTTCTTGTTTGCCGTTAATCAATATAATACTGCATTTATATTTTTAAAAAATGATCCATTCTTTTTAATGTAACGAACAACAAATGTTGCGTTACACAAACAAATTTAACGGATGCAGATCTTTTCGTAATATTTTTAAAATGGGAGAATTACAAGATAATTGTTATGTAACGTTATTTGTAACTTTTTTAAGTGCATTTTTAACTTTTTTTTCATTTTGGAAGTTATAAAATTTATTTGAACATTATACTAATATTTTTTTTGCTCTACAAAGGTGACAATATTATAAAAAGATCATCCTAGACGGCGTTACCCACCTTTCAGCGTTTAAAACATTTGAACAATTAAACATTGAGAGATTTTAAAATATATCTTTTCAAAATGGTATACTATTCATATTATATTATTTACTTTAAAAAAAATTTGGCAAAAAATACATATTAAGATTTCTAATTGAGTATCCTTATTAAACGTTAGAATTTTGCCGATAATTTTTTATAAATATATGGGTGCAAATTTATTCTCTGAATATATTACCATATGAAATCCATACTATTATAAAATTGGAAGGGGGGGGGTGCGACCGTATCAGTAATGTCTAAGGAGGGCATGTGATATTTTATTTTGTTCGAATTCTTAACTCAGTTCTAGAGGGTACATTTTGAAGAAGTTTTTTTATAAATATATTTGGTTGCTTTTTAGTATTAAATCGGGTTTCCGAATTATTTTACAAACAAAACATTTTTCATTGTATATCCCTCAAATAAAATGCCTATAAATATCAACCAATTTTTTTTTCTTGATAAGCCATTATTTTGCAGAAATATTAAACTTTATAAATGGCTAAATATTTGTAATCTACTATAGAGAATCATTTATTTCATAAATTTTTTTTAATCTACAAATATTGTAAAGATCATTTTAAACCTTTTTATGGAAATCCTTTATTGTTAGCAGGAAATATTTTGCATCAGTATCTTATGGCTTAAAAGGGTTTGTCCTATTATAGATGGGTCATGGCCTATTGTATGGTTGGTTAGTATATAAATTGTTCAAATAAATATCGCTCAAATTCCAAAAAATTTTATTTAAAAAAAATTATATGGCCTAAAAATATATTTATTATTTATACGAATGGTCTAAAATAATTTATTCGTATAATTTTTACAAATTTATGTATACTCGTTATTAAAGCAAGCATAATGTTTTTTTTAAATGACAAAACCCTTATGCTCAATATAGAATGTATTTAAGCCGATTTTTAAAAACGGCCAACTGAATATTTTAACCAAAAAATATTGTCTCTCGAGATTTTGCTAATAGATGTCGGCCATCTTATGAGCAACTTCAGGCTTACGTAATTTTCTGAATAATACCGAGTTACCCTTTTTTAAAAATCGGACCAAATGGAGCGACTTTGCATCACTAAATGTAACAGTTAAACATTTATCTTTATATAATTTATCATTTTTTATAGGCAATATAATCAACACTGTAAAAGAGCCAGTAGAAAATCTTTTAACCACATTGAGGTTTATTCGTAATGAAAAATAAATGTATTATTATTTTAAGATTTGAATCAAGATATAAATTATCAAAAAAGAATTAAATGGCATGCTCAAAACAGCGTATTCATTTTTTTATGAAAAGTATAAGGGTAAATATTGTTGTTTTGTAAATCGCTTTTCTTTTAAATTTCTTGATAAGAGCATTGCTATAATTTTAGGATAAAATTGTTTTTTAGAATATGTTTCACTCAAACCAATTAATTAGAGGTGTATCAATATCTCTTTTTGAGGTCAGTTCTATTCTATATTATATTGATAGCGGCCGATTATGACTATACCATATAATTTTAATTTTTTTTAAATTGTATATTTTTATATAAAATTATTTATAAATATGGCATGTATATATTATTTTAGATTTATTTATTTGACTCCCCCTTTTACTAACAAAATTACTTTCTCATATTTAACAAAATAGATATCGTTTTATTATATTTTTCAAAATCGGTAATATTTTCTCAGTAATTTATATTTCATTATAGTAGATTTGTTTTATTTATTATATAAAAATAAATCCTTTAATTTGATAAACGAGACCAAATTTTATAAAATAAAATCTTTGTTTATAAATTTTTTTGCAAAAGCAAACGATTTTTATTTTCCAATGTAAAAAATATATAATTATATGCAAATATAAATGACGTTTAATAAAAAAAAATATAGAAGATTGTATTTATATTATTTCAGTTGTGCAGGACATATTATAATTTTGTTTAACCATAAGGTCAGCCTCCTATTTCTCTCCTTTCTTCAGGCAGTTCTCGTCAGGCTAAAAATGCTCTCTGGTATGGCAGGCATTCGAGTAAGGTAAGGAAAAAACATATACGCATTTATTTCTAATTATGGGCAACTTATCTTAATTACAAAAAAATTAAACCTTATTTTCCCTCATCTTTAAGGCCATTTATTTTAAGTATTCCGGAGAATCAAACAAAAATAGAGTATAACAATCTCCTCAAGCAAGATATCAATATTCTGCATTTTTAATATATTTATTAAAATAAAAAATCCAACGGATGGTTTTTGTTCCAACGTCATGTAGTGCACTGTTTCTAAAAATTATTTATCAATTAAAAAAGTTAAAATGCTTAAATTTAATGCGGGAGAGGTCTATACGTGGAAAAAATTGTGAGACTTTGTTGATGGGGGAAACATGGCAACCCCATCTCTGATCAACGTAAAATTTTACATTTTTTTGAATCATTGATTTCGTTTTAAAATCATAAACATCCTTATAAAAATAAATTATATATTTTTTTTAGAACATTTATAATTAATTAGTTCGTTTTTTTAAAATTTATCATTTTAATTATATAAGCTATTTTGATGAGGACACCGTTTTATCAGATCGGAAAATTTTATAACATTGGCTGATAATCGATATTTTAAAAGATGAAATATCGGCCCGATTTGATCCGATAAAATATATCGGTACAACCCTAATAATTTTAGTTTAGTTTAAGCATAATATTTCAATTTTGCCTCTAATAAAGTTTCAAAAATGTTAGGTTTTATGAGTGTGCTTCATATGTATTTAAATTTACCTTCTTAACTCATTCAAAATGCTAACAAACATAAAATTTGATTCATTATTTTCAATATCAAATTTTTTTACTGTGTTTAAAACATAAATTTATAATTTTTTATATTTCTACATTTTACGCTGGAGTTAAAAAATAATGGCACTAAAAATTTCTTTAGAAACCCAAAGGTTTTAGAATCTTTCTAATATCTAATTTTTTTTAACCAGGTTAAAACAGAAGATTTTTTATAATTTTTTTCCTCATGGGGTAAAATATAATGGCAGTACTACAAATGGTTTTAAAACTAATTTCTAATATCAAAAACTTTTTATGGGCTCATAACAAATATATAATTTTTTTTTATAATTCTAGATTTTACTCGTGTGGTTAAAAAATAAGAAATTTCTTTATAGCCCAAAGGTTATAACATCTTCTAAAATCAAAAGACTAAAAAAGGTTTGGAGTGGAGTAAAATATAATAGCAGTCAACTTTTTAATAGAAATGGTTTTAGAACTTCTTTCTAATATCAAAAACCTTTTACTGAGCTCAAAACATAAAGTATATAATTTTTTTTATATTTCTACATTTTATTGCGTGGAATTGAAAAACAATGGCACAATAAATTTCATACTAAGCCCAATGTTTTTAGAACATATTTTTAATAACAAAAACTCATAACCCAGATTAGAGCAAACTAGTTTTATTTTCTATATATTTCATTAACCCAGTCAAAGAATCGAGTAACTGATGGCTCTGCACAAGAAGCCCTTTGGGTTTGGTCCAGAGACCCATGGGACGGGTATGAGCTTAATATCATATTTTCTAGCGAGCTTGGGTTTTTGAATTTTTTTTCCATTTTTTCTTCTAATAATAATAAATTTCAGTATTGTAAACAAAATGATTGCCTAAATACTTTTTTTTATATTGTATTTTCGTTAAATAAAAAAAAAAAATTTTTGAATATGGGCTTGTGAAATTTTTTAATATTAGATAAGCCCCTAAAAAATACATTAAATAGATATAAAATATGCTATTCGCCATCCTTTTTGAACTGAGCATTTCGAAGCCTTTGCAATACAAAACTTTCCAAATCCAAGGCACCCATTGCATTGTGTATTTGATCTTTTACGATGTACACTGAATCTGTCATATAATATTAAATGCACCTTTTAAAAAATGATTTATTTTTTAAAGAAATAAAAAAACAAGTTACTTTATACAAACAAATCGATGAGAGCCCTTCATTGGGAGAATTATCAGTGCGTTACATTATGTAACGCAATTTATAACTTTTTGCCCAATCCTATGATTTAACCTTTTCCCCTTTTTAATAGTTATAAAATCCTTTGCACTTTTTTTCCACAAAGGTGATAATACTAAAAATGATATATCCTAGCCTAGGTGTCATTACACCACTTTATTAAAGGTGTTGGACGCTTGTTAAGGTAGCGCGCTAACTTTTTTGGTAGCCATAGCTAATAGCGGCTACTTTTTTGTAATTATTTAATTTTTTTAGCGCGCTACTTTTTTTGAAAGTAGCTAATTAGCCGCTACTTCGCTACTTTTAAAAAATATAACGAAGGTAAGTATAAACATCAAAATTTAAATACAATATATAATTAATTATAATTTTTATTATTTAATTTTGAAATTAAAATATAATTTCAATTTGTAATTTATATTTTCATTTGTATTATAAACCTAAATCACGTGTTAATAATTTAAAATGTCATCGCCTATGGATATCCAAATCGTTGAAAGTGATTCAGACAATGATATTAATGAAATGGAAGATACCAAGGGAAGAAAATGTTCTTAATAGCTATAATACAAATTTCCCATTCTCTAGATTTGAAATTTTTTTTAAATAAATATATAACCAAAACTGGTTTCGAATTTATTTGTTTAAAATGTAAAAAAAAATGCCTCAAAAACGTTTTAAAAAAACGTTGTCTGGAAAAGGCTTAATATTTCATACATCTTCAGAACAATTTTACAAACAAACAGGGGTGTCATTGCCTTTACAACCTCAGGAGGTTCAAAAATTCTTTTCAAATTAACCTTTTTTAACGAGCATTTTCAAAATGAGCTATTTTTAAAATATAAACAAAATTTTTAGGGGGCTGGAGCCTCGGTGGGCCTCCCCCTCAAGTGACGCAACTGCAAACATCATTCTATTTTTTGTGTATCTTTCAGATAAAATGTCTGTGAATATTAACAAATCATGATGTTTGATTGAATATTAAATTTTAATTTTGTTTGTTTTCAATTATTTCATATATGCCTTTTTTAAATTTATGATAAATTTTTTATATATTTTGATGCTAGGGTAGGATCGGAAAAAATGTATTGTTCCTTCCGGTTGGGCTAGGTGGAAAAAATTTCTCTAATTTGGGTTCTAGTCCTATGACAGGAAGCCTAAACATTTTCTATAAGTTGCATTATCAATTATTAACAATATTTTTAAAGTGATAGAGAAATGATTATAGGTGGTTATAAATAATCTTTGTAAGTTATGGATAAGATTCATAATGTGTAACCAATGTTTTATTTCTACTAACGCTATTATATAAAGTTGAATCATTATTATATCGCTTCAATAATTATTTATCGCCTATATATTTGATTAACTAAAATACTATGATAGATTAAATGAATGATGGGAAAATAAAGCATCAAATTTATGGAATCTGCATAAATTATATTTTTAATTAAATTTATAAATTTACTGGTTAATTTTAATTTAAAATTATAATCTTTAACAGTTAGTTAAACAACTAAGTTCTATTAAATGATAAATTGGTCCACAACTCTTAAAATTTTATCTAAAAAAGATGTGAATAATCGATAAATAATTTACTTATATTAAAATTTATTAACTAACATGACTAAGGATTTATATAAAAGAATTATGCATTAAATAAATATAAAATTTATTATTCGCCATCCTTTTTAGACTGAACATCTCGAAGCCGTTGCAATATGAAGCTTTCCAAATCCAAGCCACCCATTGAATTATGCATTTGATCCTTTAAGATGTACGCTGAATCGGGTAATAAAATTTGAGATGGATCTGGATTTATATCAGGGCCAATTGTTTTATATATTTTTGGTTCATCAATATTCTGTCGATTCTTTAGATTGAGTGGCAAACTTTTTCCATTTTTTTGTATGGTAGTAGTTTTAATGTGCTTGATGTTTATGTCATAATGATGAAGGAAAGGGAGAGTGGCTTTAAATATTTCAATTTCATTTATACATGTGTTTAATTTATCGTTATTTGAAAGATTGCTATGTTTAAGTTCAGATAACATCTTATAATAATCGTTGGTATCGCGATTTTTTAAGGTACTAAGATATTGATTGAGAGTTGTAATGTGATTGCTAGACAATGAATAATCCATCGAAACTTCTAATAAAGCGGTTTGTCTATTCTTGCCTGACATTATTACATTAAAATTGTGAGCCGGAGAAATAAGACAATTAATTTTATTTAACTGATTGAAGGAATGCTCAAATATATCAACTAAATGCTGACTACTTAATTCATGATCATCTGCTAGCATATGAAATAGTTTTTGCCATTGAACTTTGAAGATATGTTCATGTGTGTTAGTTTGTTCTATGTCATATTTATTTGAATTTCCTAAAATTAATAATTTTATATAAGAGTATTATAATTAAATGATGGATTTTTCAATTTGGTTAGGAAACCTAATTAACAATTAGAGGCAATTGTAAAGCTAAGCCAATTGCCGCTATTGATATTTTGTAGAAAATACCAACACCTGATCATGACAACAGATAATAAATGAGATAATAGGATATTTACATTTAATTTAAAGTTTGAAAATCGAATTTGAATAGTTTGTATAGTCGATATTGAATAATTTAATATTCATCTTTATACAAGTCAAATAATTTCAGATTTGTTTGGTCAAAAAAGCATACTAAATTTTATTAAAGATTTATTAAATAATATATTGTACCTTAGGGATAGAGATGCACAATAGCAGATTTTTTTGCCAATTTCAATTAAATATTTTTTAATATCGATTTTGTGACTTTAAGAAATTGCATTAGTATCTATTTTAAATAGATATTTAATTATTTACTTTATCATTAGATTATTTAAAAGGGCATATTAAGTCCGATTTTTATCATATTCGTAGATTATATTTTTTTTAGTTTAAGTAAAAAAAAAATATATAGAAAACATGTTGGGTTTGATTTGCATGGAAGAATATAATCAACATGGATGAAAATCTGATTTTACCCATTTCCCCAAAAGCAAAGAGAATTCAATTAAAGATTTTAAAATTATAAATGCAAAGCTTGAAATAGTTAGCATCCATCTCAAAATTAAACACCAGATGGGAAGATGTGGCTGTTACAAAATATTTATAAAGTAACGATTTTTTTTATATTATTTAGGAAGATTTTAGATTAATTAGTTTATCCACCACACTTTTATAGCTCTGGTATTTCTCTTTTTTTTTAATTAAGAATTTATTTTATTTTTTACTTGGCCATTTTTAAGTTCTTTGTTCGTCTTGAATTACGAATTTATTTTATTATATTTTTTACCTAAATACTTTCAATGTACACTTTTATAGTTCTTTTATTTCCTTTTTTTTCTTGAAAAATAGCAAACACAAAAACAAAACTTTTTTTAAACACTTATATAGCTCTGGTTATTTCTTTTTCTTTAACCCTTTCGGCCCATGGATAACTTTTGTAATCATAATTTTTCAATAGTATTTTTTATGCATCAAAAAGGACCACTGATAACTTTTGAAATCATATTTTTAATATTTGCTGTTTCGTATTTTATCTCGCTTTGTATCATATGTTATTATATCATATTATAGTTATAAAAAATCAATTTTTTCGTACCAATTTTGCGCCAAAATTTTAATTCATATTTCTGGTAATCAAATCTTGCTAAAAATATAAGTAATAATTTTATTATTAATATATATATATATTAATATTTTTATTAAAAAATATCATCTTTTTAATCATTTATGTGTTGGAAATTGAACATAATGCCATTTGGCATCATTGGTTATTTCTTATGCACTAAAAATTTTTTTATTTATAAATGGAAATTTTTGGCTAATTATTTAGGATATTTAGATTTAAAATTATGGAAACGGAAGGGGGGGGGGTAATTAGATTAGATAATAGTTACCTATATTGATTATCTAATATCTATTAGTGGGTTTTCTTGGATATAGGGATAGGTTCTAATAAATATTTTATATAAATAACATATAATATGAAATGTTTTTTATATCAATATGCATTTAGATATGACTACACTTATCCCCGAGGGTGATATATCTGAGGCTGATATAGAGGTCTCAGACGAAGAAGACAATTATTATTCTTTGCTGGCAGATGATTTGCCGACTTCATCTTTTATTACAAATCAACTAGGCCTTGATGTGGAGGATATAATAGAAGATACTTCTATAATTAAAATAAAAGATAACCCCATGTGGTCTAAGAAAGACATAGGAAATATGAATACAGAATATATCCCTATATTAGAAATTCCTGAAGAGGATTCAACTCCTCTAACATATTTCGTAAATTTTTGGACCACCAGATAATTAGTAATTTCGTATCGGAAACAAATATTTATTCCTTTCAATGTTGTGATAAATCTATATACAGATAGCGATGAAATTGAAAAATTTATTGTACATTAATATGCTAGCTTAGTTAAGATGCCATCTATAAGACAATATTGGTCTGTTAAAACTAGGGCTGTGCCAATCCACATATTTTTTACCGATCCGATCCGATATTTTCCGATATTGGTTCAAAACCGATCCGATATTTATATTAATTTTTTACCACCCCTCTTTGAACCAAATGTAATTAATAAATCAATATTTTTTATGCATAAAAGAATTATGCATAATTTAATTTTTTTATTTCAACAATAATTTTAAAAAAAATATATAATATATCCATTTTTATGTTGGTTTATAAAATTGTAATATTTAATATATAAAATTATAATATATTAGATTTTTTTTAATAAATATAAGAGCCTCTAGATTTTCAGGCAATAGGCTTCTACGATGAGGACTATCAATATCCCCTGCCGTACTGAAGGCAGACTCAGATGGGACACTTGTTGCTGGAGGAGCCAAAAATTTACGTGCAAGTGTTGATAAAGTTGGAAATTTTACAGCATTAACTCTCCAATATTCAAGTGGATTCACTGGGGATATAATATTAATATCATCAATGTTATTCGAGTTTTCTAAATAAATGACACAAATATAAAATTAGCATTTATAAAATAGTGGGTTTCATACAAACCCAATCTTTTGTTGATTTTGAAAAATCACCCAAACAAATGGGTCAATCATAGCCCAACCAAGCAATATTTAAATTAATATGAAAAATATATTGTCATACTTTCTATATATAAAGATTCTTTTAAATATTCCTTGATTTCTATTAGGTATGGCAGGTCATCATTTACATTACTATCGATTTCATTTATTACTAGTTTTTCTTTGATTTTCAATTTATAAGCATCCCTTAAATTAAATTTGCATTTTTTAATGAAAACTTTGGGTGTTCCTTTCTATTTTTATAAAAAAACTTGTAAAATCTATTTAAAAAAATAAATAACATTTGCATTGTTTAAAAAAAAATTATTTATAAAATATTATTAATGTAAAATAGAAACTCGAAAAAATTTATTTTTTTTTTAAATATTTTAAAAAAATTTTTTTTATTAAAAAATAATAATTCAAAGTTTCATTACTTCAAAAGTTTTATAAGAATTGCATTTTTAGTAAAAGGATCGGATCGGGTTTTTTACAGGTATCGGGCCGATCCGATATTTTTGAAAAACGCCAAATATTGGGACCGATCCGATATTTAATATCGGCACAGCCCTAGTTAAAACATCTATTCCATAAGTAGCGGAAACTATGTCCCGAAATCGTTTCCTTTAGATCTGGAAATTTTCCCATATTAATAATAACAAAGATATGGTAAATAGGGAAGATGAAGGATACAATAAATTATTTAAAATTCAACCCTTCATATTCCAACTAAGAAAAAATTTCAAAAAAAATCAAATTGAGGAGAAGCTAGCTGTAAACGAATTCATAATTCCCTTCAAGGGACGCTCTAAATTACGACAATACATTAAATCGTAGCCCCATTAATGGGGGATAAAAGTGTTTACCCTATGTGGCTCGGCTCTTTCGGGTTCATGTATGATTTTGAAATATACCAGGGAAAGTCTACTAATATCATAAAATCATGTTTAGGTATCAGTGGGGACATCGTTCTTTGGCTATCGGAAATTATACCTCCAAACATAAACCACAAATTATATAGGGATAATTTTTTCTCCTCATATCAATTATATTTGATGCTTAAAAAAAAGGGATATTTGGCTGGAACGATAAGATCAAATCGCTTATCAGGGTGCACACTTAAGAATGATAAGGCTTTAAAAAAAGAAGGAAGAGGCGCCATATATTACAAAAGCGAAAAGATTGGTATTATTATCTGCAAGTGGCAGGACAACAATGCCGTTACTACTATATCTAACTTTATAGGTGTTTTATCTACAACCAAATTTAAGCGATGGTCTGTTTCGGATAAAGTCTTTATAAATGTAGAATTGCCAGCAATAATTAAAAACTATAATGAGGGAATGGGTGGAGTAGATCTTCACTATATGCTGGTGGAATTATATCGGAAAGATATTAAATGGAAAGGATATTATATGCGAATGGTTTTCCATTTATTGAATTCTTGTGTGGTAAATGCCTGGCTCTTATATAGACGCCATATGAAAGCGCTAAATAATATAAAATTCATGCCTTTACTGGTATTTACTGCAGATAGCAAAAGGGTTGATGCTTGCAGGAAAGGATAATACAAACCGGCAGAGCTTCCAGCATAGATGTTAAAAGAAGAAAAGCTATCAACATTGCCCCCATATCGGATATAAGATATGACCAAGTAGCTCATTTCCCAATGCCACTAAGTATTAAGCAAAGGTGCAAGTATTGCGTAGAAGCCTATTCAAGAATTATTTGCAAAAAATGTAATATTTATTTATGTTTAAATAATAAACGAAATTGTTATTTGTCATTTCATATGAAATAAAATATTTTTTAAATGAACTTGCATTTTGCCCATTGATAACAATTGGAATCATTGAATATCTTTTGATAGAAATACTCAAAATAAGTTTTTTTGATGAAAATATGTTATTTGTGTCTATAATAAATAACTCTTAAAAAAAAAAATTTTCATCGGGGGAAAAAAAGTCAGCACAAAAGGGTTAATATCTGTCTAATATAACTCAACCAGCATATCGTGAAGATATACTCCACCCATTCCCTCATGATAGTTTTAAATTATTGCAGGCATTTCTACATTTATAAAGACTTTATCTGAAATAGACCATCGCTTTTTAGCTGTAGGTAAAACACCTATAAAGTTAGATAATGTAGTAATGGCTTTGTTGTCCTGCCACTTGTATATAATAGTACCATTCTTTTTGATTTTGTAAGCTATAGCTCCTCTTCCTTCTTTTTTTAAAGCCTTATAATTTTTAAGTGTGCACCTTGATAAGTGATTTGATCTTACCATTCCGGATACTAATAAATATAATTGTTATGAAAAGAAAAAATTATCCATATATAATTTTTGGTTTTTATTCTAAGGTAATATTTCCGACAGGGGAAGGACTATATCCCCACTGATACATAAACTTGATTTTATGACATAAGTTGACTTTCCCTGATATATTTCAAAATCATACATCAACCCGGAAGAGCTACATAGATTAAACACTTTTATCCTCCATTTATGGGGCTTCGACTTAATGTATTGTCCTAATATAGAGAAAAATTTGTCTATGGCTAGCTTCTCTTCAAGTTGAATTTTGTTAGTTGTAATATGAATGGTTGAATTTTGAATAATTTGTTGTAACTTTTATCTTTCCTAGTTACCATATCCTTGTTATTATTGATATGGAAAAATTTCCAGGTCAAAAGGAAACAATTCCGGGACATAGTTTCTGATAAATGTGGGATAATGCTTCAAGAGACCAATATTGTTGTATATAAGGCATCTTAAATAAGCTAGTATAAATGTATCACAAATAAATTTTTCAATTTCATCGCTATTTATTTTACCACAATTGGAAGAAATAAATATTTGTTTCCAATATAAAATTGCTAATTATTTAGTTGTCCAAAAATTTATGAATAGGTTAGAGGAGTTAAACCCTGTTCAGGAATTCCCAACTTAGGGATAAATTCTGTATTCATGTTTCTTATGTCTTTTTAGACCAAAGAGGTTTATATTTTATTTCAGTTATAGTATTATCTTCGTTTAAATCCTCCAATTCAAGACCGAGTTTATTTGTAATATGAGATGATATTGGCAAATCATAAGCCAGCAAAGGATAAAAAGTCTTCTTCTGAGCCCTTGATATCAGCCTAAGTTTAGTCATATCTAAATGCATATTAATATAAAAAGCATCTCATATTACATGTTATTTATATAAAATAAAACCTCTCCCTATATACAAGAAAGCACACTATTAGATATTAGATTAACTATTTTATAAATGTAATCTTATTCTTCCCATTTCTATAACCTTAAATCTAAATAATGCCTAAAATTTCCATTTATTGATAAAAAATATTTTAGTGCATAAGAAATGACCATAGATGCCAAATGGCATTATGCTCAATTTTCAGCACCTACAATGATTAAAAGATGATAATTTTTAAATAATAAAAATATATTAATAATAAAGTGATTACTAATATTTTTAGCAAGATTTGATAACCAGAAATATAAATAAAAATTTTGGCATAAAAATGGTACAAAAAAATTGCTATATGATATAACATAAGAAACAAAACAAGATATTGATAAAATACGAAACAAATGTTAAAAATTAAAAATATGATTTCAAAAGTTATCAGTGGCCATTTTTAAGGCATAAAAAATACTATTGAAAAATTATGCTTCCAAAAGTTAGGCGCAAAAGGGTTAATTAATTTCTTCCTATGACACCATCATCAGATATCGATACTTTGGTATTAAAAATGTTGAAATTTCAGGGAGAATATTTTTTTTCATGTTTACTTAAATGATTTTAAATAAAAGTTATAAAATTTTTAAACCACCTGCCCATAGATAGTTTATATATTTTTCTTAAAATGCTCCCAATGTATTAAATTTGATTATTTTATAATCAATAATTGATTATATTAATTTAATTTTCATAAAAGAAAATTTATCCAAAATATCTATTATATTAAAAAAAATTAATTCTCATTGTATGCACCCCCACCCTTCCCAGTGACATTACTGTACCAAGTTTAATATATTTTAAAAATGGGCATCCAAAACTATGGGTGTAATAGATTTACCCTTTTATAGAAATGTATAAGAGAATACATAGATTTATTAGTTACTTAATGGATAGACTTTTAAATGATAATTTTAAAATTGACTAAGGAAGAATTGTATAAAAAAAAGAATACAAAAATTTATATTAATCAAGATAAATTATCAGGAATGTCAATTTTTGTAAATATATTTGCCTCATTCCTTTTCATCTAACTTTTTATCATTTATTTTAAAAATAATTAATAGTTTGTTTATTTATACAACTTTCTAAATAGATACTTAGACAGTATTAAAATGATTTTAAAACAGGATTTGAGTAAAATACATGTTATGTTAAAGGTTGGCAATCGTAATTATACACTTATATCGAGGCTAGCCATAAAATAATTATCAAATATAATATGTGAGCTACGATTTAATTTAAAACTATAAAAGATAATATCTTATGCTATTTCATGATAAATAATAAATGGTGTAACAAATATACCAGTGCTAATAGAACTCTGTAAATGTATCTTCTTTTTTATTCTTTCTTCTTCTGCTTTTCTTAATTCGCTTCCTTCTTTCCTTATGCGATCAATTTCAGCTTGAAATCTCTCTTCTGCTTTCTTATGACATTGTTGAATATCATTTTTAGAATTTTCAAATGCCTAAAAAATAGTATATAAATTAAATGAATAAATAAATAAGAACCTTTTCTCTTGATTCCAAATTAGCTTTGAATTTTTTCCTTCTCTCATCTAATGTTTTGTGACGCAATTCTCTTGCTTCTTTTGCTTTAATTACTCTGTCAAATGCATGTCTGGCTACATCATCTGTTAGTATTTCAAGAGCTTTGGATATTAGTAAAAATATTTCTGAAGTATCTTTATCTATATTCTTATCTGGATGATGAACTAATGCTTTTTTCCTATAAGCGGTTATAATCTTAATAATTTTTTCATAATACAGAATTCCAGAATATATATACATTATAAATTTTTATGCCTAATTTGATATTTTATCTTTTAATAATTTTTTTAGACTAATTATTTCCTCTTGTAGTAATTTTATTTTATTTTCTAGTGATTTATTTTCCTTTTTAAGTAGCTCAACGTTATTCTTTCTACTTTCTATGGATATTCTTGATTTTATCCTTGACTTTTTTACAGCTACATTATTTTTAACTCTCAATTCTTGATAAATTCCTCCCTCTTTCGACATTTTACTAAACATTTGTAATTATATTATATAAAAATTGAGTAATTACTTCTTTTTTGGTGGCATTCGAAGATATGTCCAATATTTTGTAATAATTGTGGTTCGCCATATTTGATTACGAATCCAGGAGGTAGACAAAATTTATTATGCTATATTAATTATATTAAATATAATATTACAATATGTAATAGCTATATCATAAATATAAAAAATCAATTATATTATATTAATTACAAGATGAATAAAGTATTATAATATCGTTATATCGACAATTTATATCAAGGTATGTTATATTAATAGTAAAAAAATATAATATTAGTAAATCAGAATTATATAAAGTCATTAATTCTTGCTTTTATTTTAATGATAGGGATTCAAGTTCCCTTTTAGCGCTAACATTATAATAGGCAACAAAATGGCCAAAGTCTCTACTATGCATAGGATGTTCAATTACGGGGTTTCAGATATTAAAAAAATAAATTCAAAATGTAAAAAAAGAAATAAATATAAAATTTAAAAGTTCATTATAAATATTAAAAATATCAAAAATATTCTAGGCAGATTATATATTTCAAGGAGTAGATTGGTAGTCCATGACATTTTTGTTAATCAGTATGATTAGGGTCGATTTTTAAAAACGCCTCAAATAAGATTATAGCCAAAATAATATTATATAAGCCGATTTATTAAATAGATTGACTTTTCTGCTATCTATAAGCAATATTTCCAGGCTTACATAATATTATATTAGCTAAAAATCTTTATCTGGCTTTTTTAGGGCCCAAATCAGGCCGTTTAACAGAGATATTTCTTGGTGCTTTGATACGGATCATATTATTTTTCATTATGTGAAAAATTTGCCAAATTAATAAGCCGTTGTGATGCCATTAAAAAATATAAAAATAATCTTAAATTTGTTTGAAAAGAATCATGATAAAATATTTTTAGATGGTTTCTTAATTCCAAATTTATTAAAAAAAAACAATATTTGAATATATTAAGTTTTAATTTAAGATATGGTTTAAACTAAATTTATTTTATAAAAGACCTTCTTTCCTTCGTTCCTTCCATCCTCTCCACCTTTTAGATTCAAGTCCAAACTTTTATAAAAAATTGACTACCCCCACCCCTGGATCAGTGCTATAATACATGTCCAGGGGGTAAAAGTAATTTAACTTTATGTATAAAGAGTGTTCCTAGTGGTTTAAAAATATAAAAGGAAGAGCTGGGATAAGAGATATCAAATTCAACCATGTCTCACAATTTATCATATGAATACGTGATCTCCACTTGCTTAAATTACAAATACTTATGCTATTAGAAAATGTGTAAATGAAAAATATTTTAACTTCATAATGAAACACTCTTTAGAAAACACTCTCTAAGAAGGATTCTGCACAATTAGTAAAAGCATGAGTGATTGTTCATATTCATAGACTTTCAACATATACAAACAGCATCTACATAACAGGATTTTTACTGGATGCAAATTTTCCTCAAAAACCTATGCCTTACCCCCTAAAAAATAGCTCTACTACTAACTTTCAAAATATTGTGAATATAAAAGAGTTAGTTTTTAGATCATAATTTAATAAAAATATTAATTCTTACAGCAAAATATTTTGTTCTATTTCATCAAAATTTAATAGATAACCCCTCAATACATTTATCCTACCTCTTTTAAAGGTGCCTACACCCTACCACCCTCAAGATGCGAACTATTAGTACCCCACCCCCCTCCTCCCCGCTTTTTTAGACGTTGTAAGGTTTATGAATCAAGAAAACGTAATATTATATTCATATGAAAACCTTTACAATGTGATTATTGATTAATTTATATTTTTGGATAATTATTTTTCAATCTCTATTATTGAATTAGTGTTGCGAAGAATTGACTAGTGACCGAGCCTTTTAAAAAGAATAAAGCTACGATGCCTATCTTATGACAATTAACTTTGGACCTAAAACACAACTGGTATTTATCAAAACAAATATATAACTTGTAATTAAAACTGGCAGTCAGCACTGGGTATAATTTATATATACCAATATTGCATATCGTTTCCTGAGAATTAGGTTGATTGTTCTATTTTTTAAGAACATATAATCTATTATCATCATAAAATCTTTAACTTTTAAGATACAAAGTTAATTATAGCCAGTATAAGATTATTCGTCTTCCTATTTCTTCTTATTGTTATAATTATATTATTCCATTTACAAAAAATGACCAATCAATCCAGTATATGATTCTTTAAAACACTTTAAAATATTACATAAATGGAATTGAGAGTTATTTTAACTGATTGTATGGTTTTATATAAAGATCTTGATATTACTGATCCAAAAAATAAAAATTATGAAAATATTTTTTTATTATTATCTAAAGTAAAAAAAACATACATTAATTTTACATTAAAATATTGCATTTAAATTTTTATAATAAAATTTTAGTCTGTTGTCTTGTTTACATTATTAATTATTATTATTCAATAATAATTTTTGAATAACAGAAGTTTTTTGGAGATAGAATAATATTACTTAAACTAATAAATATAAAATTTGGTATTTATTCTATCTCTAGTTTTAGAAATAATAAAAGAACAATTTTTTGAGAAATGTATCATGGTATTTTATATATTTAAGTGATGGGAAACTATTAAATATACACATAAATAAAAAGAAAAATTAGAAAAGCATATCGAATATTCAAAACACAAGAAATTATTAAAATAATTTGAGATTGAATAATATAATTCTCAGGCGACGATATATAAGATGTGTCATAACTTGACAATTTAAGAAAATTCTTACTACTTTTTTTTATATATTATATTCAAAAATTATTTAATTTGGTAAATCATATCTCTTTGCCAACAATCTTAACCAAATACTACATCCGTTTATAAAGAATACCTAAATTAGTAATTGAAAAATAGCGGCCTATATATTTTCTATCATTATCGACGCTTATTTTATATAAAAATAGCTATTATTTCCCCAATAATTTTTCAGTAGCGGTAGCTTAAATACGCTAATTAGATGAGTAATGAAATAAACATACACATTTTAATTTATTTTGAAAAATGTCTATTTTATTTCCATATATTATTTTGGTAAACCCTATGTAAAATAAGGAAATTATAAATAAAAGTAAATATTTGAATTTGATTATCATTTAACATCTTACATTTAAAAAATAGGGAAATTATATAATAATATATAAATTATGCAAGTATAAGACTAAATAAAGTATAAACCTAATTGGGTGTGGTAAGTAAACGCACTTTCGTGAAGTTAAAATTTTTATTTTAAATAGTTTATTTTTTTAGGCTGTGCCCTAAATGTTTTGAAAAAAATTTCAAAATGTATAAATTTTTTAAATTAATAAAATTATGAAACATGTCCAAAATTTTCCAAAGAAAAAAACATATCCAAAAAACCAAAAAAAGCGAAATAAAAACAAAATAACGAGAATAAAATATGAAATTTAATATTACTTGCTAGTTTTTTCATAAGAATTACCCAAATAAATAAAATTTGAAATTTTTTTATTTAAATTTATTTTTTAAAAAAAAAAATATATAAATGACGAAAAATGATTTTGAACACTATTTTATTTTTACATTAAAAATAGCTTGTTATTTTTTTCTTCAAAATTTATAAATTTATTTCTTAGATTTAGGACACAGCCTTAATAAATATTTTCTTACTCGGCTATTCCTTTTTTTATTTTCTTACTCAGCTGTTCCTTTCTAATATGGTTTATATTTTATTCTGTTTATAAGTTATTTTATAGATATCTAATATATATAATCTCTTTAATCAAAACATAATCGTTTTCGTATCTTCCTAATGTATTTAAAATTTAAGGAGTGTTATTTTTTTCCTTTTTTTGCTCACTACGAGAGTCGAACCACAAACCTCCCATTTCAAAGGCGTATGTTTTAAGCATGCACCAACTTGAATATAATTAAATTTAAAATATTAATTATATATATTAATTAATAGCTGATATTTTTAAAATTTTGCCGTTTATTACCATACTAGCACGGAGTTGAAGGGTAATTGTTTAGTTTGTGTGTATGGTACTAAATAAACTTTATTAATAAATTTTATATAAATATTAAAATTTAGGAGAAAAGAGGTAAAATTGTTGCAATGTATACCTTTTAGAAATATCAAAATTTAAATTTGTGATGGAAATCATATTGGATAAAATTTTAAATAGAGAAGCTTTAAGATTTTTGAATTTTAATTAGAAATATCAAAATTTAAATTTGTGATGGAAATCATATTGGATAAAATTTAAAATAGAGAAGCTTTAAGATTTTTCAATTTTAAATATGGGTTATACATTGGCCTGAAAATTTTTTTTTGCAGACATAGCCAGGCCTTATCAAAAAAACCAAGTCCCATGCAACTTTCAT